AACAAAAAAAAAAAAAAAAAAACCCAAAAACTTCTTGCCAGTGAGCACAAATGCATTGCAGAAGACTGACCCCCAAATGAAGGTTTTCCAAAACTGAGGAGTTTCACTTTTCCCTAGCATGAGTTCAGTGTCTGTCTCAGATGACAGACAAAGATGATGGTGGACATTTCCAGAGGCCTGTGTACATCTTATGAGTCTGAAAGTTTGAGATTTCTTCCAAAATTCCTTGGGGAATTTTCTATTTGTAATTTAAAATCTAAGGAAAAATGGCTCTGTCAATGTAATTCTTTAAGGCCTTCAGGCAGTGTTCCGCTTTCTAAGCCTGGGATTTAGAAGAATGTTCTTGCTCTATTTTCACATTAAAAAGGAAAGTGAATAATTCTTAAGAAATGTCACTGAGCTGTTTTTCATCCATATTTTGAACCCAACTTTGCATGCTTTATACATTTTGGATATTTAGTGACTAATATGGAATTATGACCTCCTATCCTATTATTTATTGGGCAATAAAAATTCCTCCCACTAGATTCTTTCATAATTTTGGCAGTGTTTAACCAAAGTACTTAATGTCCAAAGAAGAAATCTTAAGAACGTTAGGTCCTAAGAATGAGCTAATACAGACCATGTCGACAGGCTGTGGGAGCCATGAAAACAGTGTCCCTAGATACTCCTGACAAGATTCCCCAGTAGCTTCTAATTGAGTCTCTCTAAGGTCAGCAACTTCCCAGTGGTTTTGCTATTAGGGAATGTGCCTGCGCAGAGTCTGTGTCAACGTCCTGCCTCAAATGTTGTCCCTACGCTGCACCCCAGCCTGAATTTCATTAGCTGCTTGTGGCAGACAGTCCCCAGTTTGCTCAAGATTCTATGGAAAGTAAGGCCACCCTGGGAGGTCAGCAGAATAGCTGAAATTTTTGGCACCTGCCCAGAAAAATAAACATTTTATCACAAAGACATTTGCACCAGAATGTTTATTGCGGCTCAATTCATAATTGTCAAGTCATGGAAATAACCTAAGTGCCCATCAAGCCATGAATGGATCAACAAAGTGTGGTATATGTATACCCTGAAGTACTATTCAGCCGTAAGAAAAGATGGAGACTTTACACCTTTTACATTTACCTGGACGTAGTTGAAACCATTCTTTTTATTTTTATTTATTTATGTTTTTGAAACCATTCTTTTTAGTAAAGTATTGTAAGAATGGAAAAATAAATATCAATGTATTCAATACCAATATGAAACCAATATATAGGCAATTACATGGTCATATGAACAATAAAACACATACAGTCTAGATGGGGCGAGGGGAGGAGGGCGGCGTGGGGGTTCCGTGGCAGAAGGAGGGAGGGCAGGAGGTGGGATCTCACCTAATGCGCACAGTGCGAAGGGTACATAACACGCCCCCTGGGTGAGGGGAACTTTTACAATTGAAACTTTACCCTGGAAGTGAGAACAATGCAATCTAGAAGTTTGTACCTTCATTTTAATTTGAAACTTAAAAAAAAAAAGGAACTTTTGGCACCCAGCAGTGACTCCTCCTAAACTATCTTAACATTGGACTGATTTCTTTTTCTGATTTAGAGGAGGCAGCAGCTTTTCTCTGGTTTTTGTTTTTTAAACTTTCCCAGGTGTTGACAAATGGAGGCCAGTGGTCAGAACGGTTTAAAACATCTTCCAAAGAGGATTGGTTTACTTCTTTGCTTTCAGCCCCTATGCCCATTTATGGATATGACAGGCACATCTTTCCCACCCCCACCTGGGCTTCAAATGTTCTAGAAAGCAATAAAATCAGGAATGTTCTTATCGCCTGTCTCCTCTTCACACAGACCACTAGGAGCAGAGGCCACAGGTTTTATTGCTTCGAATGTAAATCTGAGCAGATAAAATCATAGGCTTATGGAATAAGCCTGGTAAATCACTACACAGCTTCAGTTTGGGAAATTAGGTTTGTCCCCCAAGTACTGAATTATCTTGTTTTAAGTAACCCTTAAAATAACAATTGGTGAACTTGATATGATTACATTTTTTTAGCATGCTTTTCAGTCCACAACAAGATTTCTCATCCATTTATTACTGGGGAGCTTATTTCACTGAGTGAAAATGGAAGCAACAGCTAATGAAAATATTTTTTTCAGGAAAACATGCAAAACTTTAGTACCTAATAAGCCAATTCTTGCCATTCTGGGGGAGAAAGGAAATTGCTAATGATGTTAGCTAAGTAGGTTTTCAAATACTGCACCAAGTCCAATCCATAAAACAAAGACATCCTGCGGACACTGCCATCGCCTCCTGCAGCACAGACCCCAGTGCTGAAGGGCCAGCCCCTCACAAGATTCCATTCCACCCTGCAAAACCTCTAGGTGAGTTATGAAATATTAATGATAAAAAAACCACCTGTGGCTAAACAAGTTTTAGAAATGCTTAAACAAAGTTGAGCAAGTTTCTTTAGTGTGCAATTTACGAGTGCTTTCAATATGTTTTGTGATCTTGGGATCTCTCCGTGTGTGTTGGGGCAAGCAGGTGGAATTTCCCGAGCAGAACCAGGTAGGCCACGGCGTGGCTGATTGCTGGACTGTAGGAGTGATAAAAACAGAGTTTCAGCCACAGAGCATTGTTCTACCCTCATTTTGACTAATCCTTGGGTTAGTAATGAGGTTATATGAGAATCAAGCCTGCTGATAACCTCACGCTAAAAGGATTTCAAAGGCTTTTATCTAAAAAGATAAAAGATGAATTTGAATTTCTACCAGGTTAGTTTCAGCCTTTAAAATCTCATATTCTGCAACTGCATGGTATTCCCAGAGGTTGTGAAACAAAGGTCTTTTACTGTGAGACTCACAAGCATTCAACAAAAATCAGAAATGGGAAGGAGCACTTAATCATCTGTTGGAAAGTGTAATTTTCATGAAATTCACACACACATAACCTAGGTCTGAAATTATAAAATGATCCCAAGCTCAATTACAAATTTTCATTCACCTACCGACCCTCAGTTTCTAATATTTAATAAAAGAGATTGTATCCAGACAGAACCATAAGATGATTCGAATTTAAAAAAGACAAAAAATGTCCGACTCTGACCAGAGGCTTTCTCACCACCCAATTATTCTTTGTGGTTCTGCTGGTTTGGGTTTCTTTATAAACATACATAATGGTTAAAGTGCTACTAGAGAATAATTCTTCAGGTGCAAGAAAATTAATGAGAGGACAATAACTTTCATAATAATATTACAAATTGTATTTGAAAACAAAAGGCTAATGATGGCTACCTGTATGTTCCCGTTCCAATTCTTCACTGTGCACTCAGCTCTCTGCATCTGACTATGTCCCTAGGAGTCAAATTCTTTGCCCTTTTCCCATGTACTGACCCTGCAGGATCTCTGAAGCTCTGGACTCTACTATATACAGTGTAATCTTCTCTGCAGGAGTCTCCACTTAAGGCTTCAGAGATTTGTCTCTTTCTAGATTTTCTCCAACATCTCTGTTGTCATTCCTTCTAATCCTTTCCCAACCTCAATGTCGATATTCTCCCAGGTTCTGTCCTAGAATCTCTTCTTACTCCCGCAGCCAACTTCCACTGCCACGTCTTCACCTTGAGCTACAGCACCAAACTACCACCCACCCAGCGTCACCTCACCTAACTTGTCCAAAACAAACACATCACTTCCTTCCCCCTTGAATCTATCTTCACGTGCGCCTGTCTTGGAAAGGGACCTCCTACCCTGTGGCACCCCTCTCCTTGCCCGTAATTTGGACTAGAAATTTAGACTCAGCTCAGATTCCTCTCCCCCATCTAGAGTTTCCATGTCGTCTGAAATATTTCCATTATCGTCTAGTTTTTTCTATTCTGTTTTCCATTTCCTCAATTCAGGACTGATCGTTTTCTCTTTCTTTTCTTCTGACATCTCTCCTTTCAAATGCAGATATGGGGCAACCACCAGACACATTACTGAAATAAAGGTCAGATCAGTGCCACTGATGGCCTATGGAAGCATGAATGACACCTAATTGTCCAGGAGTCCTGACTGCTGAATTGCTGGGTTTATTTGGCCTGAGTGGCCAGTAGGTCAGCCATTGGTCTCTATCTGCTATTGTAAATGTACATCTGCTAATTAGGGGTAACCATGCTTTCCTGACAGAGCCATCAATTACGTGTGTAACTCAGAGCTTGGCCTCTTTCAAACGTTGATAGAATTCTCTGGTGAAATGATTAAGGCCTGGAGAGTTTTTTAAAGTTATTAATTTAATTTTCTTAATAGTTACAGAGTTATTTAAATTATCTATTTCATTTATAGCGATTTGTGGTACTTTTTGTTGTTCTTTTCCTTCCATCCTTTATTATCTAATGTTTTTCTTAACTGATTTTTAATTGGCTAATAAAAATCATATCTATGGCATACAACATACT